ACTGTCAAAAACTGTCACATGTCAAAAATCTGCCAACCCTGCCTATAAGCCCATGCCTGAGTCAGGCTCTGTCTATTCTATACATTTTTCTCCTTCTTCAGTGGATACAGATGCATAAGAAATTAGGTTATTCTTTTTGAACTCTTATGCAGTAGATTCGTTGTATATTTGTTATACCTTTTATACTTAACATATGTTCTTCAAATGCAGTAACATCCTTTTCAATGTCCTTTTTTGGACACTGGATTACATTCGTCCCATTGCAACAAATGATTTAGCATCATTTGGTAAAGGAGTCCATTTTCTTGCCGTCATTCCTGTGCACATAACCCTCTTTACGATACCTCTTTCCCCATCAACTGAACCTTTCCCGCGCCTTATGGCAGCGGGGAAAAAAATTTCAACAGATTTTTATGGATGAAAAAGTTGTTTTTTCTTCTAATGGCAGGTACTGGACTTTTACGTCCTTCACCTGGGAAGATGCCGGAAGTGTTGCTCATTTAACGTTACCTAGTGGGCACCTGTGAACCTAAGTCAGGGAGGCGAGCAACATTACCCACGCCACACTGCCACAAATATCCGTTCATAGGGTGGGCCACATTCACACACAACAGAGGACAACACACACAGAGAAACATTCATGCCCAGAGCGGGATTCAAACCCGCAGCCATTAACTTCGCAGTCAGGCATGCTAACCGCTCGACCACTTGGCCTGCTGGATGAAAAAGTAATGTTGCAAAGTGTATACTTCTGTTTGAATTGGGATGATGGCCCGTCACTAGAAATGTCAATTTCTTCCAATGTAGACCATTTAAGTTTATCAAATAGGACTTCATTGAAAGCGTGGATTGCATATTCGTCATGCTACACAATAGTCACTATGACGTAACGTAACATTTCTTTTTTTTATTTCATTCAGCCTAGTTGAGGAAGCCAAGCAGTGTATAAAGAGCACTGCCTATGAGTCCAGTGGGTTGACTGTACCTCATTTTGAGTGAGGAAGGTAAAGTTCCCATCAAAGTTTACTTGTAAAACACACTTTATGAGATTCTGCCTAAGCTACTTAAACATGGTGCATAGTGCTTTTTAAAAATGCTTAAAAGTGCTTAGTTTTGATTTCCGTTTTGTAAAAGTCCTTAAAGGTGCTTTTTTCATTGAGTGTTTTTAAAAAGTGATTAAATTTCCCGTTTCGAAAACGAGATTTTTTTCTTTACCATGTCGATTTTCGCCGCGTTTTGCGCGAAAGCATGCTTTTCACATTGTTTTATTCAACGTTTTCACAATTCATTCAATCACAATCTATTTCGGCGTCCCGTCGGTTCATAGCTTATGAAAGTGCCAATCATTTTGCATGTTTGATGAAATAACTTGAGAATCCACATGTGCGTCTACTGGGCTGGGTTCAGTGAGATTCTTGCATTCTCATGTGCAACTCTGCTGCAGTTTGCAAGATACTCTCAATTTCAGGTTTCATTTTCCACCATCTGATATCGAACCGAGAAACCTCTTCATCTTTTTATAATGGCCAATATAATCAAGAAGAGAGTTTTTTTTTTGTCAGAAACTGGTTATTTTATCATATATTTATCTGGTTATTTTACTCATGTAAAGTTTTTGAAAATTATTTTGCATTTTGTTAATGTATACAGTGCTTAAGAATATTTTTTGAGTGCTTATTTTTTCTGGAAAGATTTGACTATGCACCCTGTTCAAATACTCAAATGGTGTTGATTTTTGTAGCAGTGTAATTTAAATTTTTCTAATTGAAACTCAACAGGGCCATTTTAATAGCATGTATGATCCCCGGGCACAAATGCTCCATAACATATCATATTGTTTGAAATCGAGCTAAAAATCTTCACATACATGAAATAAAGCATTTTAAGAATATGCAATAATTTTAACAAATTTAAACACATTTTGATTACCTTAAAAACTCAATGAACATAAATTAAAGCATTTTTAGACTATGCATAAAAATTTTTTTTTAAAGTTATTTTAATCAGTTGCAATCTTCAAATAATAAAATAATTTCAAAACCATGGAAGCTCATTAAAATAGTTAAATTTAAAAAAATCATAAAGGTATAACAAGTCAGGGAAAAAAATCTAATGATCTGAAATAGTTTGCCAAACTTAGCAGTTATTAAAACTTCTTTCAATACACATTTGTCATTACCGGTTTAAAAGTTGCTGTAACATAGTGCTGTGTAATTCTAAACTCTTTCAATTATTACTTTATTTAACTAAATTTAAATACATACTAGACAGAGCTGGTGGTGGTCAAGCATTTTGAGTAATATTATGACTTTACACAGGGTGCGTAGCGTTTGTAAAAAGTACTTAAAGGTGCTTTTTTGGGGATTTCGTTTTTAAAAGCTTTTAAAGGTGCTTTTTTCAGCTGGCGTTTTTAAAAAGTGCTTTTTTTCCGAATAATTTTTTCCCCCTTCAGTGATATCTGGTGGATCCCATGCATTTCACGNTCTTGTTTATTTTATTTTACTTCTAACACTTTTTTTGACGTAGGGGGTAAGGGTACTTTTGTTCTGAGGTCAGGGTCAAGTTGAATTCACTCAGTGATGTGGGAAAGTACTGATTGTTTCGATTTACGCCCGTTTCTTTTCTTTTTTTTATCGCTAAAACTGTTTATAAAAAGTTTTTATTTTTCAATAATATCATTGGTTGAATATGAATTTTTTGAGTGCTTGAAAATTTTTGTAAAGTGCTTGAAAAGTTTTTAAAAAGTGCTTATTTTTGATTCAAAGATCTGGCTACGCACCCTGTTTACATAAAACTTGGTCACATTAATTTATTTTACAAGTGCGTATGAGCCTTGCAGGTCTCAAATTGAACTAAATGAGAGTAAACTAGTTTATATAGTTATATGTATATATATTATAAAAATCTAAAATATTTTATTATTAATCTAGGATTTGAATGTGCATGCTAAAATGAAAACAAACGTGATCATGAGAAATCTGGAAAGAAGTTTAGACATAGATTTGACTAGGGATGATTTTATCTTCAAATTAGAATGTTTCGAGAAATGTATGAGATTTCAAGTTCAGTTCAATGTCAATAGAGCGTCTCTGATTTTTAATTTTGAGCCTTGTCTCTTATCATTCCATGAAGTAAGTAAAAATATAAAAGGTTTAAAGTATTTTTTATGAATTTCTTTTAATGTGGTTCTTACTTGAAAAGACGCCCGGTGGCTGAGTCGTAGCGTTCCACGCTCCCGCGCCACAGGTCCTGGGTTCGATCCTCGGGTCGGACAAGGTGGACATTCTGGACAATGCTGCACTCCCAACTCTATGGCAATATTTCGGCCCATTTCTCTTCCAGCAGGATAATGGCTCCATTCACACATTGATGCAAAAGTGTGACCAACATCGTATTAATATGTGCTTCAGGACGCTCCAAATCCATGCCACTAAGTGTCCGGATACTTTTGGCCAGATAGTGTATTAACACACCTTGTAGTCATAGTTGCAATGTGAGTTTTACAACATTGGATATGTTTTAAATGCCTTTTTTTTCTGGGAGTACTAAGCGGTTTTGGGTCTTATTTGAAATAAAAAGTGCTTTACAGTTAAAAAATATATGTTTGACAGTTCTAATAGAATTGCTCGAGGTAATTCAGTCATCTTATAATATGTGTGTAAGCAAGCACTCTAGAACTCATTGCAAAAGAAAAAGGGGAATTTCACTCAAAAACGTGCATATTTTTTACATAGGAAAATCATGGCATTTGATTTTATAGTTGGCATTGTATTTATGAAAAATGTAATGGTTAAAATTAAATTGCTGACCCGAAACTTAGAAAACTAAGTGTCCTGAAAATTATTGATGCAGCTGCAATGATAAGGAGCACAATCAACACCTTAGAAAGATTAAATACAAATACATGATATAGGTTTAGGGATCATTGCAGGGTAATTTATTGAAATTTTTTTAATAAATTAAATACATTTAAAAAAATCATACATTTTTCTCTTTTGGAAAATTGTAATAATCAATGTTATTTTTCAAATGAGCCTTTGTGCAAAAATATGTCTTTCAGAATGAACTTCTTGGTAAAAACACAAGTTTTGTTGAGATTTTTAAAAAAAGAAACTGGAGTAAATCATATTCAACTATTTTTTATTGTCTGGTGAGTTTTTGACAGTATTTATTTCCCCCCCCCCTCTTATTATTTTATCTAATACACTGAGCACTCATTTAGAAAGCAAGCAGTAAAAGATTTTCTTCTTCCCCGAGATATTATACTCGTTTTTCACTGACATTGAAAGTAAAATTAAAGAGAATATAAAAAAGATTATTGTTAAAAGAGAACAACAAAAGTACTACATTTATTATCAAAATAGATTAAGGAATTGTAAATTATGATCATGGGTGCAATACTGATTGCAGTCCTGGGGACTGCAATCAGTATTGAGAAAAAATTATGAGACTGAGCTTCATCAATTAATCTCTTTTCCATTTGTTCTTTAAATTAAAATGTCCTTTTTACCTTAAAAATGTTACAAACATTTTCTATTTGTTTTTCTAGTTAATTTTATTCAAATTCTAAACCGCCAGTGGGTTAAAGGTGCTTTTTTCATTGAGTGTTTTTAAAAAGTGCTTAATTTTCCCTTTTTCAAAATTAGATTTTTCCTTTACTATGTTGATTTTCGCTTCGAATTATGCAAAAAGGCACAGTTCACATTGTTCTATTCAACGTTTTCATAATTAATTCAACCCCAATCTATTTCCGCGTATAGTCAATCCATAGCGTATGAAAACGCCATTCATTTTACATGTTTCAAAATTTCACGAATTGTCAAAAACAATGCCAAAAGGTTTTTTTTTTTTTTTTTTTTTTTTTTTTTTTTTTTGCATGGCGGTTAAAACAAGATGAAACCGTCAATTGTCAAAAAATTTCCAACCCTGCCTAATTATGATACTTTTTTAAAGTGCTTAAAAATATTTTTTGAGTGCTTAAAAGGTGCTTATTTTTTGTTGAATAATTTGGCTATGCAATGCACTCTGTTAAACAGAATTTGTACTATTGTATCTAAATTTGTTTAAGTTTTCATTTTCCCCTAACGTTTTAGTTAATGACTAAAGTTAAGATTATTTAAAAGAAAATTATGGGGATAAGACAGGAAATAAATAATGATGAAGCAAAAAAAAAGTAGATATACAGTCAAACCTCGTTATAGTGAACCTTCAAGGGACCAAAATTTTGGTTCACTATAACCGAGAGTTCACAATATCCATTACGCGAAAATTTGACTAATGGTTCCCAAACTCCTAACTTTTATCATACATTATTCAAATAAATGACTGAAAAATATTATGTAGTAGCAAAAAATGCGTTAATTTTTATTACTCCTCGTCTTGCATACAAAGAAAAATTCGTAATCTTTAGCTGATGAGCAATCCTCAACATCAGATTTGGAAACACTTCCCGACCCTCGGATAATTTTTCCTGAATTTCTGTTATTCCGTTTGTTAAACCTGTCTAACCTGCCATTCGAGCACATTAAAGTAGTCTCACAAAATTGCTTAACAAATTCATCAACATTTGTTCAGATACTGGATGATTACGGCTTCTTCGAATGCTGTACAACTTTAGTAATGCTTCTTCAACATCCTTGTGATCTGCTTTTCTCAACTTTTTTCTGCCTTCTAAATTTTTTTCATGAGCAGAAATTATTAATTGCCTATTTTACCATACATTACAAACTGCAGATTTGGATAGTTTAGATTTCCTGCAAATATCAGCTTGATTGCAACCATTTTAAATTTTTCTGATTATGTCCATTTTATCATCAATGGAGAACGTTTTACGTTTACTGTTTACCATAGTTAAATTTGAGACTTGTTCGCAGGCTTTTTTTTAACTGAACTGAGATCAAAAAGGAGTTGAAATGAGGGCCTTATCAACACAAATTAGTTTTCAACCTTTTGACCAATAATGAATAATTACTCATTCCTTCTGATAGAAAATGCAAATTGATCCCACTGACACCTTACAGGTGCATCATCTGACTGGGTTGGAAACATCTGCTTGGTTTGTTTAGGGATGGGAAAGTGAGATAAAAGAAGCAAACAAGAAAAAATGCTTATCGCTACATTCCCCTCTATAGATGGTTTTAAAAATCGGTATATGTATTTACTTTGAAGTAGAAATTTCAAAATTATTACAAAAAAATTAAGGAAAAAATCTGTCGAAGACAGAAAAAAGTTCACTATGTCCAACTTCCTCACTTTTTTGGTTCACTATATCCACAAAAAATAACATTATACGTGTATAGCAAGGCACGGGACCGAACATTTCGTTCACTATATCCGGGAGTTCACTATAAGCCGTGTTCACCAAGCCGGGTTTGACTGTATATAAATAGCTTCATGAAAAAATTTGTGGTTTATTATCCAGTGATTGGTGTAAAAAGATCTACTAGGTTATGGTTAACTATTATTTTTATCTTGTTTACTGTGAAAAAATTAATTAACAGAATTTAAAAAAAAAAAAATCAAATCTTTGATTTAATATTTGTGCCATTATTATGGAAAGATGCATTTTGGAGTCAGTGAGCTATGAGTTTATGAAAATTCTGGTAAACAACGCTAGATTGTGTTAATTGGTCAAAAAATAAGTTTAGTCTTGAAATCTTTTTAGAGTGACTCCCATGATTATGCTGGAACACTAATGTCTTTTATATATAAAAATTATATTGAATTATTCGGTAATATTTATAAATATATGTTTGCAGTTAAAGAATATTATTATGATGGAAATTCAGTGTTGTTGGTTGTTCCAATTGAAGTAGATTTTGTTGATTTTAAAATGAAACAAAATTAAAAGTATGTGATACTTAGTCTTCATAGTTCAGGATTTTATAAGTGAATGATGCTTCTAATTATAATTATAAATGAAATATGTTGAAAATAGAATATTATTGCAAGTGTAGGATATTAATCAGAATAAAAAATTAATGTTTTGTAAAATGTTAACGTAAAGCTCAAATTGCCAAATTAAAGAATATTTTATCTATGTAATATTTTAAGTAAAATAATAAATTTTGGAAATGGTTCTGAGTGTGTGGCTGTAAGGGTTAAGCCCCACAGGACATCTCTGACCATTGAAAGATCCAAAATACCAAGTCTCCTGAATTTGACTACTACATATTCTCAAATTCTTGTATTTTATGACCGTATATTCTCATATTTCTCTGTAGTTGCTGAAGAAATTTAAAAAAAAAATTGACAATAAAATATCCTCCGATGGCAAAAATACTCTTATTCCTTAACAGCTATTGCCAGTAATACAGTATGTTGAGTGTTTATAGTTTAATTATAAATAATGGTTTTTAAAAAAATCTTCTTTAGATTAAGATTTATATACATATTTTTTACTTCACCAAATTTGAGTGCTTATATTATTTCCCATTTTGAATTTCTCTTTTTAACTTACATGATTATGCATGATGTATCAAAACTTCACTCGTAGGCTAAAAAATGTTGCTAGTAAAATCTCTGTTATTTTATTTCTCCAATGTTGGCAGGTATGAATGCAAGTAGGTATGAGAATTTTTATCAAGAAATGATAAAGAATTCATGCATTGGTTATTAATTGTTTTAAATTATTGACAAGGCTCATTTCTTAGCCTTGCACATTCAAGTATGTTGTCGGAAAAGAAAGTGAGGAATACTAAGACAAAACATTTCAGCAACCGTGTAATGGTTTTGAATTCTATGTAAATGTGTTTACCAAGTGTCTTTAAAAATATGTTTATTCTGCAAGATTGTGTAATAAAAAGATCAATTTATATTGATGATTTTTATTTATTTAGAAAAGGATTAAATAAATAATTTAGTTTTTTAATGATTGACAATATATTATGCAAATTTTTTGCACAGCAGTTATTTATTTATATATATATATTTAATGAACATTGATAAACAAATGACAGCAGTAAATTTTAAAAACATTGTGTTGTTATATTATACCATTAATGATGTTGGTGATTTAAATCGTGCAACCTTAAATATTTCTATACAATTCACTTTAACCAGTGCATATTAATGTATTTTTGTAATTTGTAAGTTTAAAACTGTAAAGAAGTATGAAAGAATGATAAATATTATCAAAAAGTTTTTTTTCTTTCATTATTATTACTCCCTTATGAATTCAATATTTATGTGTAAATGTATTGTAAAAATATACATATATTTGATGATTAAAACGAGAATTTTTTTTTTTTGTAGCTAAGGACGCACATTCTAGTGCCTACTCTTTTCCATGCTTTGTTAACTTATCAGGAAAACATTGCTTTAAAGAAAAGACTTAGCCAATGGGAAAGCAAACAGAATCTTGAATCAGTATCTAAATCTAAAGGTTAGTTGCTGCTATTTTTTTATTCTTTTGTTTTTAGAACTTCTATTATTCCTTACAAGTTTTTTTAAAATTATTATAGTTTTATGTTTTTCTTTCAGAAACTATTTACCTTTAAAAAATTTCGTTATAGAAAATTTTAAATGCTTACATACCTTAAAAACCCATCTTTCAAAATATTTTTGCCATTTTGAAAATAAACCTGAAATGGACATTTCTCCAGTTGTTTTATAGAACAGTGTTTCTCCACTCAATTAACTCGAACGACCAGTTAAATATTTTAGTGTGTTATGGCAGATCGGTTAGGACTATTGGCATAATTTTTACGTTAACAAAATTGTGGCACTCAAAAATTCTTTGATCAGTTTGTTTCTGATCATTCACTCATTCTCTTCAATGAAAAAGGTTTAAAGCCTAAACTTATATAAATATAAATTAGATTTTGTATAGTATAAACAAGAGATCCAAATATTTGTCAGTAGACTGAGCTAAACTGTTATTTTATGCTAAAACATACATTTGTTGACAAATATTTTATTGACCATGCACAACAATGATCATAATCATTCAAAATCAATATAAATAATCACACAATTCTTATTTGTATAATTATTTTTAAATAATATCTATTTGGATTTTTTTTCAATATAAAGCATACAGGTTTTACGAAGAAGAAAAAAATCCCAAGTCTTTTTTTTTTTCTTCTAAAGAAACTGATTCTAACCATTATTTTTAAGGCAGTGACTCAATATTTCACAATCATTCAAACTCAATATAAGTAATTACTCAATTCTTATTTGTGTAATTATTTTTAAATAGCATCTATTTGTTTTTTTTTTAATGGTTTTGTTATTTATTACATTTAAACACAACAAAATGGGTGTTCACAAAAATTAATTAAAATAGCAAGAGAAAGTAAAAAAATAGTTGAATTTACTTGCACCTAGCTAACCAAAAAGTACATATAAAGGAATTAATATATTTACTAAAAAAGCAAAATTAATGGATTATTGGTACTAATTCATTTAGAAGGAAAGTTAAAAACTGCCTTATAATTTTTGCTTCCAATAATGGTCACTTAATTTTGGTAATACTTACTAATTAAAATTTAAAAGAAATAAACTAAGTACTCTATAAACCAAAATTAATGAAAAATTGTACTAATTTGTTAAGGAGAAACATATTGAGGCTAATGTTGCTTAATTAATTTTGGTAATAGGTACCACTGCTGTTGTATTCATTGGCATAGTTTGAATAGGTACCAAAGATACTAATATAGATACAATGTTCAGGGTGGTTAAAATTAAACGCACAGTACTCAGAGGCTCATAGTTTTTTACGGTCCCTCAAAATAAATAAGTTCCGTAGAATATTGGATTATTGTGGTAAATTTTAACTTTCATGAGTTGACTTCAAGCAACGGCATCATGCTAAGTGATGAATAGAGTTAATCTTTAATTTGATGGGATGAACTACTAAGAATTAATTTTGCTTAATCTAATAACATAAAGCCACCTGAAATGACAAAATATAATAATTAATCAAAAATATTGGAATTAATTTAGGTACATTAATTGTGTTGGTATATATATTTTAGTTTTGTGCATGATTTTGTAGTGCTGTTCAGTACTAATTTATTGGTTATTATTCTTTTTATCACCACGTATGAAAAACAAACATTCGGCTATTATTAAATCAATAAAATATAAAAATAAAATTAAATTATTTATATAGAAATTATTCTTACAATAATTTTTAGTGGATAATAATAGATTATTTTTCAGAATTACTACAAAATTATAATTGTACCAACTATTTCGAAACTAAAATTGTTGCTTCAAATAAATCCAAATTCAATTAAAATTAGCTGTTACAAATTACTCCAAAATACCAAATCATATAGTTATTTGTTTTCTTATCTCACAATAATAAATGATTAATTATTTTTACAAAGATTTTAAAAAAAGTGTTTTTTTTTTCTATTATCTAACCTATTATTTTTCTATTTATTTTAAAATTTACAGGGTAACAAAAAAATATAGGGATCACTTTTGTGGTTATCTACCACTAAAGTTTTAAAACCTTTTTACATATATAGCATACTGATCTGAAGCTCTGCTTTTAGACTTTCAATTGCAATACTTTTTCATAAAATCACAAAAATGCCTGTGATGCCAGAATTGGCATACACA